GGACTGCAGGCGTGCACCACCATGCCTGGCTAATTTTTGTATTTTTTTTGTTTGTTTGTTTGGTAGAGACAAGAGCTCCTTATGTTGCCCAGCTGGTCTTGAACTTCTGGGCTCAAGCAATCCTCCCCACCCATGTGCTGAGCCACTGTGCCCAGCCTAGGAGCAATGATTATTAGGAACTTAACTAAGTATGTTAGAAAGCACCAGGAGTTAAAAAAATATATATTTTGGTGACAAAAAAGGAAACTTTACTAATGTGGGCATAAAATATTTGAGTAATTTTATATAAGCATTACGTCATGATGTATAATAAATGATTTACTGATATCCTTTTCTACATGTGAATCTAGATATATGCCATTATATAAAAATACAAATGACTACTAAATCTGGAGTTTATGTCTATCACTTTGAAACACAAAGTATCAGTATATTAAATAAAACAAGATATATGTATATTTACTAGCTGACTAAACTGAAACAACTTTTAAAAATAAACATTAATCATATCCATTATATTGCATACATGTTTGTATTTATCTGTAATTATTATCCTTAGAATAGTCAACCAATTACAGTAATTATCATCTTTAACCCAAGTACAGTCATAGCTTAAGGATGTTTAGATCAATAATGGGCTGCAATATGTGATGGTGGTCCCGTGAGATTATAATGAAGCTGAAAAATTCCTATCGCCTAGCAAGATCCAGCTGTTGTATCATCAGAGCACAATGTATTACTCACGTGTTTGGGGTGATGCTGGTATAAACAAACCCACTGTGCTGCCAGTCTTATAAAAGTATAGCATATACACGATGTACGGTACATAATACTTGATAATAAATGACTATGGGCTGGGTGCAATGGCTCATGTCTATAATCCCAGCACTTCGAAAGGTTGAGACAGGGGATGGCTTGAGTTCGAAACCAGCCTGGGCAACATAGTGAAAACTGATCTCTATAAGAAATACAAAAATTAGCCAGTCATGGTGATGTGTGCCTGTAGTCCCAGGTACTTGGGAGGCTGAGGTGGCAAGATGGCTTGAGCCTGGGAGGTGGAGGTTGCAGTGAGCCGAGATCCCACCACTGCACTCCAGCCTGGGCAACAGAGCCAGACTCTGTTTCAATTAAAAAAATAACAACAATAATAACAACTATGTTACTGATTTATGTATTTATTATACTATACTTTTAATCATTATTTTAGAGCATGCTCTTTCTACTTATGTAAAAAGAAGTAAAATAGCCTCAGATCCTTCAAGAGGCATTCTAGAAGAAGGCATTGTTATCATAGGAGAGGACAGCTCCACGTGTATTATTGTCCCTGAAAACCTTCCAGTGGGACAAAATATGGAGGTGAAAGACAATGATATGGTGACATGGCGAAACCCCGTCTCTACTGAAAATATAAAAATTAGCTGGCCGGGCGCGGTGGCTCAAGCCTGTAATCCCAGTACTTTGGGAGGCAGAGACGGGCGGATCACAAGGTCAGGAGATCGAGACCTTCCTGGCTACAACACGGAACCCGCGTCTCTCTACTAAAAAAAAATGCAAAAAAACTAAGCCGCGAGTTGGGCGGGCGCCTGTCGTCCTTAGCTACTCGGGATAGGCTGAGGTAGTGGTAAATGGCGTTAAACCCGGAGTGCGGAGCTTGCCAGTGAGCTGAGAATTCCGGGCACTGCACCCAGCTGGGCGCAGAGTGTCGTCAAAACAAAAAAAGAAAATTAAGTGGGCGTGGTTGGTCAACGCTGTAATCCCAGCTACTTGGGAGACTGAGGCAGGAGAATTGCTTGAGCCCAGGAGGCAGAGGTTTCAGTGAGCTGAGATCTTGCCACTGCACTCCAGCCTGGCTGACAAAGTGAGACTCTGTCTCAAAAAAAAAAAAAAGAGAGAGAGACATAATTCACATACCATAAAATTCACCATTTTAGTACACTTTGATGACTTAATTATTTTTTTGAGAAATGAGGTCTCACTCTGTTCCCCAAGCTGGGGTGCAGTAGTGCAATCATAGCTTACTGCAGCCTCGAAATCCTGGGCTCAAGCAATCCTACCACCTAAGCTTCCCAAGTAGCTGGGACTGCAGGTGTGTACCACCACACTGACTAATGTTTAAAACTTGTTGTAGAGACAGGATCTCACTATGTTGTCCAGGCTAGTCTTGAACTCTTGGCCTCAAGCGATCTGCCCACCTAGGCCTCCCAAAGCGCAGAGATTATAGGTGCGAGCCACTGTGCCTGGCCTAAAGTGTACAATTAGGTGTTTTTTTAGGATAGTTTCAGAGTTCTACAATCATCACCACTATCTAGTTCCAGAACATTTTCATCATTCCTTGAGGAAATCCTGTGTACCCATTAGCAGTCACTTCTTATTTCACCCTCCCCCTAAGTCCCTAATAAATCTTTCTTTCTCTGTGGCGGTTGACTCAACTAGCACTTTTCTTTTGCGCCTTTTCATCCCTCTACTGCTTCCTGCCCGAGTTGCAGACATGGCTGGAGCTCTGGCAACTCTATTGAAAGACTAAGACAGAGGTATAGGGTCACACCCTGAAGATCACAGCTATAAAAGGGAAAGCTGTAAGGAGCCAGGTCCTTTTGGCATCATAGACTGCAATATTAACTCTGAACTACTTTTGATGTCAGAGAAAATAACACTCAATCTTCAGGTTTCTGTTACTAGTGCATTTTCTACTTGATAATCAATATATGGATATATAATAGGGTAATCTAATTGCTATAACAAATAGATGCCAAAAGACATACCAACTCAAACATAATAGAATTCTTTTTTCGTAATGGTACTGGGCGGGTAGAAGCAGACTGGCAGGTCAGACTTCCTTCTTTCCCTCATTCAGACACTGGCTGATGAATGCTTTTTTTTTTTTTTTTTTTTTTTTTTGAGATAGAGTCTCACTCTGTTGCCCAGGCTGGAGTGCAGTGGCATGATCTTGTGCCTCAGCCTCCCAAGTAGTTGGGATTATAGGCATGTGCCACCACGCCTGGCTAATTTTTGTATTTTTAGTAGAGATGGGGCTTCACCCCATTGCCCAGACTGGTCTCGAACTCCTGAGCTCTAGCAATCTGCCCACCTTGGCCTCCCAAAGTGCTGGGATTACAGACGTGAGCCACTGTACCTAGCCTAATGAACGCTCTTTCATCTTTAGTGTGTGGCTTCCAGAGCCTGCCAGGACATCATCTCCATTCCAGGCAGCCATAAGAAGAAAGATCATAAGCTGGGCATGGTAGAGCTCAGGATCTCAAGACCAGCCTGGATAACACGGTGAAACCCCATCTCTACTAAAATACAAAAAACTAGCCAGGCGTGGTGGTGTTTGCCTGTAGTCCCAGCTACTAGGGAGGCTGAGGCAGGAAAATTGCTTGAACCTGTGAGATGGAGGTTGCAGTGAACTGAGATTGTGCCACTGCACTCCAGCCCAAGCAGCAGAGTAAGACTCCATCAAAAAATAAATAAAAAAATGAAAAACTAAAACAAGGAGAAGAAGAAAAAGAAAGATCATAGAGGAGTACATGGGAGTACATGGTGGTTTTAGGGACCAGGCTTAGAAGTGGCAGTAGCACTTCTGCTCACATTTCATTGGCTAGAGTTCGGTTGCCTCTAACTTCAGGGCTGGGGACCTGGAAGGGGTAAGAGGAGACAGGAGCAGGAGCTGAAGAATGAGATCTAGCTGTACACCCAGGAAAAAGAGAACATGGATTGTGGAGGGCTGTTAGTCTCTGACATAGCTTATGACTTAGAAATATGCAGGTAACCAACATAAGAGCAAGCTTAAAGAGTTGGAAGTTGCTACCTCCTGAGAATAGGACTTGGAGGTAGAGCAGGCTAGGCCAAGGGACCACTGGTTTTTGTTAAAAAAATCATTTTAATACTATTTTATTTTTATCTCTTTGTTTCTTTGTTTTTCTTGAGACAGGGTCTCACTTTGTCACCCAGGCTGGAGTGCAGTGGTGCAATCTTGACTCACTGCCCCCTGGGTTCAAGCAATTCTTGTGCCTCAGCCTACCAAGTAGCTGGGATTACAGGCATGCACCACCATGCCCGGCTAATTTTTGTATTTTTAGTAGAGACAGGGTTTCACCATGTTGGCCAGGCTGGTCTCGAACTCCTGGGCGATCCACCTGCCTTGGCCTCCCAAAGAGCTGGGATTACAGGCGTGAGCCACTGTGCCTGGCCAATACTATTTTATTATAAAAACACTTTATAAATATTACCTTGTAAAAAAAAAACACTGCCAAGTTAATTTACAAAAATAAAGCAAAAAGGCCGGGCACAGTAGCTCACGTCTGTAATCCCAGCACTTTGGGAGGCCGAAGCGGGTGGATCACCTGAGGTCAGGAGTTCAAGACCAGCCTGGCCAACATGGTGAAACCCTGTCTCTACTAAAAATTACAAAAATTAGCAGGGAATGGTGGCGTGCCTCTGTAATCCCAGCTACTCAGGAGGCTGAGGCAGAAGAATCGCTTGAACCTGGGAGGCAGAGGTTGCAGTGAGCTGAGATAGTGCCATTGCGTTCCAACCTGGGCGAGAAGGCAAGACTCCGTCTAAAAAAAAAAGAAAAAAAAAAATTTCAGCTACATCTTCCTTTTGCATGCCTGTCTCTGCCTCTGCTGCCAGTCTCCCCAAGGGTAGGAACCCTTTCTTTTTTTCTTTTTTTCTTTCTTTCTTTTCTTTTCTTTTCTTTCGATAGAGTGCCACTCTGTTGCCCAGGCTGGAATGCAACCTTTGCCTTCCTGGTTCAAGCGATTCTCCTGCTTCAGCCTCCTGAGTAGCTGGGACTATAGGTGCCTGCCACCACGCCCGGCTAATTTTTGTATTTTTAAGTAGAGGTGAGGGTTCACTATGCTAGCCAGGATGGTCTCGAACTTCTGACTTCGTGATCCGCCCGCTTCGGCCTCCCAAAGTGCTGGGATTACAGGTGTGAGCCACTGCGCCCAGCTGGGTGACAACCATTTCTTAGCTCCATCTTCTTTCTTCTTCTCCAGAGACCCACACAAGACCACATGCTGCTAAACACACACGAAAAACTGGTGAACAGAATGGCATTCTGCCCTCTTTCCTTGCAGTGAGCTCGCTCTCATCTAACAGCTGCTCATTCTTCCCACGTGTCCAGCCTGGTAGATTTGTGCTGTAGCATGCACTGCTTCAGTCCTGAGAGACTGGCCAGATTCCAGGGCCCTTGTACTCACTGCTTGATGAAGCCAGAGGAATGCCTGCAGCAGATGAGCACATTCCCAACCAGTGTGTAAATGGTAATGAAATCACTGCAGCTTCCTGTGGGCAGTCAAACGCCATGACCCTAACCCCAACAAGAAAATGCTGATGGATATGTTAATAGAAATGGATTTTCCAGGATGCAGAGGCCTTGCATTTTACTCTGTCCTGGATCATTACCATTAAGTTGTAGCATTATCTTTTCCTTTGACTTTCAGTATCGTGAGATTGCATTTGCAAGAAAAGGTTTTCTTAGATCCTCACTTGCTCAGCAAGGAAATGGGATGCCGTGGGAAGTTATGAGTTCCCTGCTTGTGGTGCTGGATAACTGATTGGCAGGGATGTTGTGGAGGTGGAGAGGAGGACTCCAACCCCAGGATGCTATCAGTCTTTAGTGCCCATTGTCCCTAGGACGCCACCAGAGGTACGCAATCTGATGCGGATTTCACAACACAGCTTCTGAGGTTAGTGATGCAAGTTCATTCAGGAGAAAACTGCGTGGCTGGTGAGATGGACCCAGGCTGTTGAGGCTGCTGCTGGGGCTAGAAGGGCCTGACTCATGCTTCACAGTCCCTGCCAGCATTTCAGAGGGAAGCGATGTTGTCTCTTGTTCTTCCTCCGCTCATCCCCTAAGCTGGGTGTCTGGTCTTCAGCCCTTCTCTCTTTCATTCCACACAACCCCCTGAGAAATCTCAGCCACACCCCAGCCTCAACTCCCATCTCTGTGATAACTCCTAACTCTGTCTACAGCCTTTACCTCATCCCTAAGCAACAGACTCATATAGCTAACAGTTTATTGGACATCTTCATCTCATTGTCCTACATTTCAAACATGATGTATCTTAAATTGGGATGTTTTCTCCTGGCTTTAGATCTGATGTCCCTCATCCCCCCAGCCACCTCATACAGAAACCTTCCTCCATCTCCCTCTTAAGCTCACTTCTACCTTGTGTGCAAGTCCTGTATATTCCACTTCTATGGTGTCTCTTTTTATTGGCCTTTTTCATTCTAGCTGTATTACCACTGATTTCATTCCTGCCAGAGTGAGTATACTTCAACCCAAGTGGGACTTCACCTCCCCCAGGTGGTCATTCACCTCAAGAAAAACAAGCATAAAACACAAAAAGACTGACAATACCAAGTGTTGACAAGAATATAGAGCAATGAGAACTCCTGTGCATTCCTGGTGGGTGTGTATATGGGTAGAACAACTTTGGGAAATTAGTAGTATCTACTCAAGTAGATATATGCATAGCCCATGACCCAGCAGTTCCACTCCTAGGTATGTACACAGCAGATTTACCCACAGAGGAGCACGTAAAGGCATTTGCAGGAAGGTTTACATCCCCAAACTGGAAACTGCACAAAGCTCATCAACAATTGCAGTGCATCCATACAATGGGATGTTAACCAGCAATGAGCAACAACAAACCGCATGTATGTCTAGCAACATGGGGGAATCTTGCAAACATGTGGAGTGAAAAAAACCACACACAAGAAAATTGCAAAAACTGGTTTATGATGTTAGGATGGTTATTTTTCTTGTATGTAAGTAGTTCCTGAAAGAGGGCCAGAGTGGATCTCTGGAGTTTTAGTAATAATTTGTTGTTGTTGTTGTTGTTGTTTTAATCTGAGTGCTATTACACAGATGTGGTTCAGTTTGTGAAAAATTTTGTACTTTTCTATACATATGTCACATTTCAATAAAAACTTTAGTAAAACACATCCACCTATGCATACAAAACAAAATCTCTTCCATGGTTCCTCACACCCAGAGGAGAAATTTCCAGACCCTAACAGAACACTCATAGATCTCCATGACGTGACCCTGTCTGCCAGGCCTCACCCTTCCCACCAGTACTATGTGTGCCATGCACTAGACCATTCTCCTTGCTGATCTCTGTGCTACTCCCTCAGCCTGAATCCCTCTGTCCACCTGGCTCTGTCTGAAGACGCCACCTCTGTGAGGCCTCTTCTGATTTCTGAGACCACACATGCTGCTTTTCTCTCTCACACACCTCTGAGCTCTCTCTGCTTGCATGCGTTCCCTTGACTGAAGGCAGCATGCCATGAAAATGCAGCCCAGGGAGAGATTTGTGTGGTCTGAGAAATCAGGAGAGGCCTCACAGAGGAGGTGGCGTCTTCAGACAGAGCCAGATGGACAGAAGAATTCCAGGCTGAAGGAAGAGCACTGAGACCTGCACAGAGAATGTGGAGTGGGCTGGTAGATGGCACACATGCCCCAGGTGGGAAGGAGGTGACCTGCTAGACAGTCACATCATGGAGAGCAGAAGGTAAACCTCCTCGAGGTGGCAGAAATGGTGCCCGGTTTATCTTTGTAGACCCTCTTGGGGCCAGTGCTGTGCCTGTTTGAGAAACGATTGAATGTATGCTCTAAGTTAAGCTGTAGTTCACAGTGCCAGAAAGCCAAGACGCTCAGTGTGCCTGCAAAAAAGCTTCTGCCGAGAGCCGAGTCCCTTTGGAACCAAACACATCCTGTGGTCCTTCATTGGCTGCTGACAACCAGGTTGATGTAAATGTGTTGTGCAGCATTGTGGGTATGTCCAATTAGACTCAGTGAGATGGAGCAGCCCCACTAACATGAATAAGCCGTGCAAATATGTGGTTAATGACCATGTCGCTCCATGTCAATTCTTAATCCCGGATAATTAGCAGATACATAATTGGTGGAAGAAGGGGAGGTGCTGATGGATGGCCCATCACTTGGGTGAAGCTAATGATCCTCTATGGATTAAGACCCACCCTTTGTAAGTGTTGATGGCTCCTATTTGAAATGCTCCTTTTGAAAGGGCCTAGATCCAAGAAAAGGTGTCAGGAACCCCAGAGCCAGGCGTTGGCATCGGGACTAATTCCCTGGGCTGCTTCCATGAAAGGTGGGCAGACATGTCCCACTGCTGCCAGCCTTGTGCAGGCAGCCAGAGTCCTGGACTGCTCCTGACTTGCTGGGTAATCCCAAGGAGGGCCTTTTTCCTCTCTTAGTCTCATCATTTGTCTAATAGCAAAGAGCGGGAAGGCTGGGGTGGGTGTGCTGACTTGAGAATCCATTGTAGATGAGAGTTTCCCTCACCTTCCCCTCCTTGACCACACTGGAAGTGTGTCATTTGCTGCCATTGAAATGGTTTGGGTGGACTAGCTGGTCTGGATGATAGGGTGCGGTGGAGGGGACATGCAGGGGTTGAAAGCAGACACCTGAGATGGAAGCTGGTGGTACTTTATGTGATTTGAGGCAGGGCCAGCTAGCTGTCTACCAGGATGGGTGCATCTGGTACCATGGTGTGAGACATCACTGCACAACAATTGCTCAGCCAGCAACTCCATTTCCCAGGCCCCTTTGCACTGAGTCAGGTACAGTACAGTGTTTCATGTTGTTGATAGCTGGCATTTGTTCCAATTGGCTGGGTGTCCACTCTGACTGGTTGGTGCATGTGCTGAACTACTCAAAAAGTTTTTATTTTTTTGGTTTTAAGGAGCAAAAAGTTTAATAGGCAAGAAAGAAGGAAGAAAGAAGAAAGCATCTCCCCCATACAAAGACAAGGGAGTAGGACTTGGAACAAAGAGAAACCCTGTGTGCAGCAGAAAGGCAGTCCATTATATAGGGAGGCTGGAGGAAGCAGTGTCTGGTTTCATAGGGACCAGGGGATTGGTTTGACCACGTGTGTCATTCACACAGCCCCTGAAAACCCTGGCCTTCCCACCTTAGCCTTTTAATATGCAAATGCGAGTCGCCATGATGTTCTGAACACATCTGGAGGTGGCCACTACACTTGGCACAAGTGGCGACAAGGAGAAGATGGTGGGAATCACCATACAGAGTGAACCCAGTTTCTAATGGCCAACATTTGCATATCAAAGCTTGCATGCCGGGCCCTTCAAGCCACCTTTTCTGTTAGAAAATAGATGGTTGGGGGCGAGGGGGTTGTTTCTTATAACAGGAAAACTTCCACTGAGAACCTTTACCCTTACTATCTGTCTACCTAAAATTTCTTAATAACTCCTGTATTATTCCCCCCTCAAAGAGAAGTAAACCTAATTGCTGTTAGGGGATGTTGGATGATGAATCTTTCAAACTAGTTGAAAGTATTTCTAACACCACTCCTAGAGGTATGAATCCCTAAACAAGAAAGATATGATTTAGTTTTATCCATTTTGCATTTTTAATGAATGGAATCATAAGGCATGTATTCATCAGTGACTTTCTTTTTTATGCTCAGAGATTAACATGCACTGCAAGAAATAATGCATGGAGATCCTATGTATCTTTTACCTAGTTTCACCCAAGAGTAGCCTCTTGTAAAACAGTAGTATAGTATCACAACCAGGATATACTTACATAGATCAATATCAGAACATGTCCAGCACCACTCATATTGCCTTTTTATGTTCACAGCCACTTCCCTCCCACCCACACCCCCTCCTTAACTCTGGGCAATTACTAAGTTGTTCTCCATTTCTATATTTTTTTCGTTTCACCAATGATATATAAATGTTATATATTGAAATAGACTTTTTCTACTCAGCATAATTCCCTGAAGATTACAGATAAGTGTTGTATATATCAACAATTCATTCCTTTTTATTGCTGAGTAGTATTTCATGATATGGATGTACCACAGTTTAACCACTGATGTGCCATATTTAACCTGTTGAAGGACATCTGTTTATTCCCAGTATTATTTGTTGCTACTATGTAAATAAAGCTTCTATAAATGTTCAAGTACAAGTTTTAGTGTGAACATAATTCTTCATTTTTCTGGAATAAATTCTCAGGTGTGCAGCTAATGAATTGTATGGTCGGTGCATGTTTTGCTTCAGAAGGAACTGTCAGCCCAGTGTGGTAGCTCACACCTGCAATCCCAGTAACTCCTGAGTCTGAGGCAAGAGGATCACTTGAGTCCAGGAGTTCGAGACGAGGCTAGGCAACATAGAAAGACCCTATTTCTACAAAAACAAAAAGAAAATTAGGGCAACACAGTGAGACCTCATCTCCACACACACACACACACACACACACACACACACACACACACATACACACACACACAAATTAAGCTGGATGTGGTAGAGGTGCTTGTAGTCCCAGCTACTCAGGAGATGAACGGGAGAAGATCTCTTGAGCCTGGGAGTTCAAGGCTGCAGTGAGCTATGATTGCCTTCACCCTGGATGACAGAGTGAGATACTGTCTCACACACCCACAAAAAAAAAAAAGAAAGAAAGAAAAATGAAACTGCTACCCTGCTACCTTGCTTACTAGAGTGTATGAGTGATCAAGTTTCTCTAATTCTTTGCCAGTATTTTTTATTTTAGCCATTCTTATAGGTGTGCAGTGCTATCCTATTGTGGTTTTAATTTGCACATCCTCAATGGCTACTGATGTTGAACATCCTTTAATGTGCTTATTTGTCAGCTGTATATCCCGTTGGGTGAAACATCTGTTTGTGTTTTTTGTCCATTTTCTACTTGAATTGTTTGTTTTCTGACTGTTCAGTTTTGAGAGTTGTCTGTATATTCTAGATATAAATCTTTTGTCAAATATGCGGTTTGCAAACATTCTGTCAGTCTGTAGCAAGTCTTTTCTTTCTCTTAAAATGATTTTTCAAAGACAAATGTTTTTAATTTTAATGAAGTCAAATTTAGCAACTTTTCATTTTATGGATTGCGCTTTTGGTGCTAAGTTTAAGAACCCTTTGCCTATCCTTACATCCCAAAGATTTTCTTCTATTTTTTTTCTAACAGCTTTATAGTCTAACATTTTACATTTAAGTCCATGATCCATTTTAAGTTAAGTTTTGTGTAAAGTATGAGGTTTACTTAAGATTCTTTGAGTTTTTTTTTTTTTTTTACCTGTGGATGTACAATTGTTTAGCACCATTTGTTGAAAATGCTATCTTTCCTCCATTGAAGTGATTTTGCATCTTTTCCAAATCAGTTGAGTATATTTGTGTAGTCAGTTTTTGGGTTCTCTATTTTGTTTTAGTGATCTATGTTTTTGTCTGATACCACAGTCTTTATTACTGCAGCTATTTACAAAACAAGTCTTGAAATTGGGTAAATAATGCCTAGAACTTCTAGAATTAATAAGGAAGTCCGGGAAGGTCATAGAATACGACATAAACATTAAAATTGATTAGATTTATATATATTAGCAATGGACATGTGGACATCAAAATTAAAAATATAATACCATTTATAATCACTCAAATAAAAAAATTATTAGGTATAAATCTGACAAAACTTGTACCAGGAAATGTATGCTAAAAACTATAAAATGCCCAAATTGATATACCAGGTTTAACATAATTTCTATTAAAATCCCAACAAGAGCTTTTGTTAATGTAGAGAAGATTATTATAAAATTTATGTAAAGGCAAGGGTACTAGAATTAAAAAAAGAATATCCACCAAAAACCTCTGGCTAACATTATACTTAATGGTGAAACACTGAATGTTTTCCTGTAAGATCAAGATCCAGGCAAGGATATCCACTCTCACCACACTTATTTGACACAGTGCTGAATGATCCAGCCAGTGCAAAATGACAAGAAAAGGAAATAAGAGCATATAGATTGGAAAGGAAGAAATATTGTATTTTCTGTGTTGTTTTCCTTTTTTCAATTACATTGATTTCTGCTCTTGTTTATTTCTTTCTTTGTATTTGCTTTGGGATTTTTTTCTTTTTCCACCTTCTTGAGGTGTGATATGGTTTGAACGTGTCCCACAAAGTTCATGTATTGAAAACTTGATTCCCAGTGTAGCCGTGTTAAAAGGTAGGGCCTAATGGGAAGTGTTTGGGTCAAGCTCACATGACCATTCATGCTCTTATCTTGGAATGGGTTCTTTATAAAAGGATGAGTTCAGCCCACTCTTGCTCTCTCTTTGCCCTTCCACCATGAGATGACACAGCAAGAATGCCTTCACCCATGCTGGCCCCTCAATCTTGGACTTCACAGCTTCCAGAACCATGAGCCAATAAATTTCTGTTCATTGTAAATAACCCAGTCTCAGGTATTCTATTATATAGCAGCACAAAATGGACTAAGTCAAAGTGGGAGTTTAGGTTACTGATTTGAGATTTTTCTTCTTTTCTAATGTATGCCTTCAATGCTACAAATTTCCCTTTCAAGACTGCTTTAGCTGTGTCCTGTAAGTTTTGATATGTTGTATCTTTATTTTCAATCACTTTCATGCTTTTCCCTTTCTAATATTTCTGAAACTTTCTCTTTGACCCATGGACTAATTAGAAATTTCTAAGTGTGTAGAGATTTTCTTGTTATCTGTCTCAGAGAACTTCTGAAGACTTTGGAGAGCTCACTCTGTAAGGTTTCAATTATCTTTTATTTTCTTTTAATGGACCAAGATATGGTCTATGCTAATACATGTTTCATAGGCACTTGAAAAGCATATGTATTCTGCTTTTAGGTGGAGTGTTCTATAAATGTTGGTCAGATCTTGTTGTTGCTACTGTTGAGTTCTATATTCTTGCTGATTTTCTTTCTAGTTGTTTTATCAATTGTTGATAGATGGGTGTTCAAGTCTCCAATTATTACTGCAAATTTGTCTTTTTCTCCTTTCAGTTCTATCAATTTTTGCCTTACATATTTTATGGCTGTTTTTTGGTGCATACACATTTAGGGTTGATATGTGTTCTTGTTTAGTTTACCCTTTTAACATTATGTAACGTCTCTCTCTGTTCCTGTAATTTTCTTCACTGCTGAAGTCTACTTTATTAGATATTAATATAGCCCTCCTGTTTTCTTTTAATTAATGTTTGCATGATACATATTTTTGATCCTTTTATTTTCAACTTGCTTATGTTGTTACATTTGAAGTGAGTTTCTTGTGGATATCTATATTAGTTTTATACATCTGCTAAACCAAATTACCACAAACTCGGTGGCTTAAAATGACACATTGGCTGGGTACGGTGGCTCACACCTGTAATCACAGCACTTTGGGAGGCCAGGGTGAGGAAATCGCTTGTGGTCAGGAGTTTGAAACCAGCCTGGGCAACATAGGGTGACCCTATCTCTATGGGTTTTTTTTTCTTAAATAGCCGGGTGTAGTGGCACTTGCCTCTGGTCCCAGCTTCTCAGAAAGCTGAGGTGGAAAGACTGCTTGGGTCCAGGAGGCTGAGGCTGCAGTGAGCCATGACTGAGCCACTGTACTCCAGCCTAGGCAACAGAGTGAGACCTTGTCTCAAAAACAAACAAACAAACAAACACAAAAACAAAAACCTCTCACATATTTATTCTCTCGTAGTTCTGGAGGTCAGAAGCACAAAATCAGTTTCGCTGGGCTAAAATCAATATGTCAGAAAGGCTAGTTCTTGCCATTCTGGAAGTCCCAGGGGAGAACCTGTTCCTTGTCTCTTCCAACTTCTAGAGGTTGTAAATTTTCCTTTGTTCATGGCCACATCACTGCAATCTCTTGCTTTCATCATGACATCCTGGTTTTGGGGGTATAAAATCTTCTGCTTCTTTCTTTTTAAATTATTATTATTTTTTAAATTTTAGAGACAGATCTTGTTCTTTTGCCTGGGCTGGAGTGCAGTGGCTCAATCATTGAGCACTGCAGCCTCGAAATCCTGGGCTCAAGACATCCTTTTACCTCAGCCTCCCAAGTAGCTGGGACTACAGCCATGCACCACCACACCTGGCTAATTAAATTTTTTTTTCTTTTTTATAGAGACAGGGTCTTGCTTTGTTGTTCAGGCTGGCAACTGATCCTCCCTCCTTGGCTTCCCAAAGTGCTGGGATTATGGGTGTGAGCCACTGTACCTGGCTTCCACTTCCCTCTTATAAGAACATTTGTGATGACATTAATGTCTACCTAAATAATCCAGTGTAGTCTCTCCATTAGAAAATTATCACTCACATTTGTTAAGTCCCTTTTGCCACAAAGTAACATTCACAGGTTCCAGGGATTAGGACCTGGATATCCTTTTTGTTTGTTTTAGCATGGCTCCATATTTTAAATTTTATTTTATTTTATTTTATTTTATTTTTGGTGGAGGAGTATTCAGTTGTGGTTTTTTTTTTTTTTTTCATTTTTTTATTTCCATGGGTTTTTGGGGAACAGGTGGTATTTGTTACATGTGTAATTGCTTTAGTGGTGATTTGTGAGATTTTGATGTATCCATCACCCCAGCAGTACACACTGAACCTAATGTGTAGTCTTTTATCCCTCACCTCCTTTTCACTCTTTCCCCCAGAGTTCCCAAAGTCCACTGTATCATTCTTATGCCTTTGCATCCTCATAGCTTAGCTCCCACTTATGAGTGAGAACATATGATGTTTGGTTTTCCATTTCTGAGTTGCTTCACTTAGAACAATAGTCTCCAATCCCATCAATGTTGCTGCAAGTGCCATTAATTCATTCCTTTTTATGGCTGAGTAGTATTCCAACATATATATATATATATATATATGTCACAGTTTCTTTATCCACTTGTTGACTGACGGGCATTTGGGCTGGTTACACATTTTTGCAATTGCAAATTGTGCTGCTATAAACATGCATGTGCAAGTGTCTTTTTCATATAGTGACTTCTTTTCCTCTGCATACATACCCAATAGTGGAATAGCTGAATGAAATGATAGCTCTACTTTTAGTTCTTTAAGGAATCTCCACACTGTTTTCCATAGTGATTGTCCTAGTTTACATTCCCACCAGCAGTGTAGAAGTATATTTTCCCTTTTCACTCTACCTACGCCA